TTTCTCGGGTTTTGTGAGGCACGGTGTAGCGAATTTATTGAAACGTCTACTTTTCTTGACCTCAAATAATTCTGAACTTTGCTAAAACACGCCTTCCACAAAAAGTTCCTGAGTATCTTTCAAATTGCTACTAAAAAAGGCAGCCTCGAGCTGACACAGCCGCAGAACGAACGACGAAATATTTCCAAGAACATAACTTCTTATAAGTGCCTGAAGTAACTCTGCCAAATATTTATTCACACGCAATCCTTTACAGTTCCCATATCATCAATGTCGGCGTTTGCGACTGAAAGCCGAAACAGCTGACGGGGTGAATGCAAGCGCAGAAGTGGACGTGGTCAACTTACTGTTTCTCTCTTTCGCCCAAATCTGTTAACAACGACCAAAATTACGTGCCCAAGTCTGCTCAATCGGTTGTCTTTCCACTACTACGGATTAAATTATGTGATTATGTGACCGAACCAAAGTCAATGCCGAGGGGTTGCTAAGGGAAAGCTTCAAACCCCAGTAATGTCATATGTACTGTCTATTCCCTATGCCAGAAAAGTACAAATGTGTGATACAAGCATACCGTTTATATGTAATTGGGTAAAAAAGCGCAGTTAACCATACTACTTAGTGGTCAAGTAAATGAATGTTGTAGGAAAGAGACTTGTTGAAGACGCGCGAAAAAATGGTGGTCCAAAAAGAAATACAAGAAATTCACAAAAGAGCTAAAAGACATGGGAAACTGGCGTGGATTAGGGTCTACGAATGCGTGATAGTTTCGGCTTTCCCTGACAGTGGTGAAGGGAGGAGTAGGGGGAGGAAGAAGATGAACAATTTGATCGACAGACAAAGAGCGAAATGCAGGGGATTAAACAACTCCCCTTGTCGGCCGGACGCGCGGCAAAATGTGCATGGGCTCATTTCAAATGAACGCGAAATTATCAAAATAGACTAGATATCCGCACACGCATTGTTACGACAGCTTTCTCACTTCAGGGGACTTACTGGTTTGCGCCCAACATGAAGTATTATGGGCAACCAGACGGAGATTCTGATGATCGTATTTGTAATGGACTAGGACGCATAAACCAGGCGCTGTGAGAACGAGTAATAAACACTTGGAGAATGTGGCGGGTAAGAGAAGCG